TGCTGATCCCAGAAAGTGCATCTCATACTCCAGATAAGGCAGGGAAAGAAATGGAAGGACCCGATTCGCAGACTACCCTCAATTCATGTGACTAGTTCTCACAGAGAATGGATGAGGCCTCCCTTTTCCTTTGGCTGCAGTCTCTTAAGGGAGAGGATTTTTCGTTTTGTGGTCAGTTTGCTTTTTAATTTTTCAAAGCCCCTCGATCCCCGCGCTAATGGCTTGGATTAATAAAGGAGAAATCTCAAGGTTTGCCTTCTAGCCACCGAGGAGGACAGAAGGAGGAATGGACTCCCAAGCAAAATATGCTGGAACTGCGTCCAGTTCTTTTTTCTAAAAAAAAAAAATTTACAAACAGAGTTTCAGTTGGAGAAGGGTCAGGTACGTTTTTCTACTGAAGATTCGTAAACTCTCGGAGCTTTGGATTCAACACAGCGGTGACTTTGGTTTCTGACATGGATCTCTCCCTCTCACCTTTGCTCCAAAGCAAGTTTTCAGTTGCCCGCCTGGCAGAAGAATTTTTCTGGATTGGCGGGAGCATCGTAGCTGCTCCCAAATGGAAGATGGGCCGAATTGGTAAGAGCACAGACATGGCCCGAGTCCCTTTCCTCTAGAAGGCAATCATGTCTCAAAGATGTGACTGTCTTATGTGGGATATAGTGACAGGTTTGTCTGTTGACAGTTGAAGAGGGGTTGTGCAAAGATGGTCAGCTAATATTCCACAAATGTCTTCCTAGTTCAACAGTAGAACTCACTGTCACAGGAAGGAGCAACAGTTACCAATTAGGGTGGCTTTAAAAGAGGATAAAATGTAGGGAAGATGAGGCTCTTATTAGCTACTCGTTGTACTTACATATATTGTACAATCTCGGTTATTTCTGTATCTTAATATAGAGATTAAGATTCTATGTATCTTGACATATAAATATATCAAGCATTGATGTATCAGTTAGCAAGAAGAGTGTTCCCAGAATTGTTTTAGTGCAGCTTTACCAGTAATTTAGCTATAATTTATTTGAACTTGGCCATACACACATCCGTGGATTTGATTCTTACATTGGTTTTGCTTTTTTGGATCAGTTTGTGAACTTTGGGGTTGAGGCAAAAGTCTTATTTCCAGCCTGTATTGATGCTAAATATCTTTTCAGTTTCTCAGTTCCAGCAGTAAAGGGTCCTACCCTTTTTAAAAAAAGGAGGATTTCATTTCATCTGTAATTTGGTTGAGGAACCGTTGATTTTCTTTCGGTGTCGTATTTTGACATTTAAAGCTCTAACGTTGTTTAAAAGATTGCTGATATCCATATGAACCTGCCTGACCGGGCTCAGAGCGTCGATGGGGTCCTGTATCTGTGCAACTCCTTCCTGCCAAGAGGCAAATTTGCTCCCTCTTCACTTTAATTGACTTGTGAAAATGTTACTTTCGTTATGAGAATGGGGCAATGTTTTTTGCAGCTGACGTTTGACTTTTTCGTGGTACTTGCTTAGCATTTGAAATGTAATGGCTATTTTTGGTCATGGTTATGACGATCTTTTAAATGTTATGATTCTTTTCAATGTCATGGTTGCTATGAAATGGCCAGAGTGTTCCTTTTTGCCTTGTTCCTTAAATGCAGAGGTTGAAATACTTGAAATACTTTTATAAGATAAATATTTTTCCACTTCTTTGGAAAGGTGGCTTATGAGTCTTAAATAAAGACACAACGGAAAGCAAACAGACCGAAAGTACAATAAGGTTAACTAGTAGATCAATTTGTTGCTTTGAAGGTTTAAGTGGAGTTGGGTATGATTTGCCGTCAATGCAAACTGCTAACTTAGACAGCTTTTGAGAATTTTAAGACCATTTTGGGGAGGAAGAATTGTGATTTAGAACTCCATGAATGCCAATTGCTGGCGACCAGCAGCAGGAGACAACGCCTCTCTGTTTCAATCCAGCAGGGTTTCTCTGAAATCCGTACAATTCTGCAGCCTGGTTCTTTAAAATGAAAGGTCTTGTGGACTGGTCCTGTGTCGCAAATAGAGTCCGGACGGCTAGGGAACATCTATATCCTTCAACCCGCCAGGGGCTGCTCATGTTTCCTTGTAAACGGAGTCTGGAGGGCGGCCAGACACAGAGGCTTTATTTTCCTTCTTGGCTTAGGAGGTTTTCTGGCAGACATCCCTTGGTGCTACCAGGCACTCCTCCGGAGACAAAGAGAGTCAGTCACGCAGTGTTTCGTCTTTCAGCCCCCCACATATTAAAGCCGTTGGGGTAGTGTCCCAGTTGCTGCTGGGAGGGGACTAGTCTATCCAGAGATGAACACCTGCAAATAATATTAATACCCCAATCAGAATGGAGGTCTGTTTTTAGAATACAAAGAGAAATGAGATAGCCATCAGTTGCTATGCAGGAACCTGTGAGAATACACCTCCCTCAACCTCAGGATCATTTAAGGAATTTATATACAGAATGTCAGCTTTGAACCTGAAAAGTTCCATTGATGTTGACTTGGAGGACTTTTTCTGTCTCTCAGGCTCCCTGGCACCATCTCATATGGTTCTTCCCAATTGTCCCAAAGCTCGTGCCAACCTCTTGGGAGCATGTCAACTTTGGGCGTGATTCGATCAAGATCTTGTGATATTTTGGACTTCAGAAATGATGAAGTTTTAATCTGTTTGGGGTAACATTTGGGGAGGGGGGCAAGACAAGAGTTTGGGTTACCAGGCATTTGAATCACAGAGGGAGAGCTGTAATTTGGGAGGGTATTCAATGTGTTTGGATGAGCTATTTAAAACACTCAAGCAATTAAAGTGTTGTGGGCAAGCTCCCACATCTGTTGCTTTACTACACTTTAGTATAATGCAAGTTGACCTGAGAACTGTACCAGTCAGATCAGAAAGGGAAAAATAAAATTAAAGAACCATGCTGTCGCTTTTTACTACCTTGTATGTTAATATCTTATTTTTATTAATGTTTAAAAGGGTAATTTGCTCTTCTGCAGAAAATGATACAAAAATCAACTTGACATGTCTCGAGTTTCAGAGCTGCTGTCAATTTTCCTGTGAGAGGCACAAAAGGGAGTCCTTTTGAAGAGCCCTTTTTCTCAAGGGTTTACTAATCTCTCATTTGGAGAATCTGTACAGACGTTCTAGCCTTCTTGCCTGAACGTCCAACAGCATCACATTGCAGTCGGGCTCCAGTTCACCATTCTGAGAACCCTGAAGTTGTTAATGTTTAATGTCCTCCTTCTGTGCCCAAAGGCAGTTTGTCCTAATGTGCCTTTGCGGATTTTTAAATTGGGCTTCCAGAACATTTGCCATCATCCCCTTGCCACATGTTGGGTAGGAGTTTCCTCCTCATCCTTCCTCTTTGTTTTGTTCTTGAATCTTAGAGCAGGGTTCTTCAACCTTAGCAACTTTAAGATGGGTGGACTTCAACTCCCAGAATTCCCCAGCCAGCATGGC